AGAATATCAGTATATTGCATATCTCTGTAACTACTTCACTAGATTTTTGTAGATATGTTTATTGCATACTAAAGAGGTATCAGAAATCACTGCATTTCTGTTTTTTGTTTTTACAATATTTAGGCCTTCTTATATTTTACAAAGTAATAATGAACAGGAGTTTACTATACAAATAATTTATGAGCTTCTTAGTTTGTAGAAGATATTCATATTATTAATAGACGTCCTCACTACTCTGAATTATAGGGTTTAGTAGAGAGCTTTAACAAAACTTTAAAAAATATGCTCTTAATCTGAATAGAGAATAACAAAAGAAGGGACTGGAGTATTAGCTTTCTAATAGTTACCTATGCAATGAATATCTGATATTTTAGGCCTACTAAACATACTCTATATGAATTAGTTTTTGAGCAGTATTTATTATGCTATTTTAATATAATTGAGAAATGGAAAAAGCATAATATTAATATGGAGAAGAATTTGTCTAATCTAATTAAAGATAGTGAAAATTCAAAAGACATAAATAATAATGATTATGATGATTTTAATGATACAAATGATTACAAAAAATTGCTTCAACAGTATAATTATAACTCTGGATATCTGAAGTAAACAATAATAGTAGTCTATTTTATAATACAATTAATAATCACAACATACTTTATAATGCAAACAATAATGATAGCTTATTTAATAATACTAATAATAATAATAACATATTTTATAATGCAAACAATTATAATAGTGTGTTTTATGATCATAACAATTTTAATGATATGAATTGTAACAGACCTAATATAATATTCTAGCAATATAACTATAGACTTAAATATAAAGAAGCAAATAAAAATAATAAGAACAGAGAAAGATATAATTCAGATATAAGGACATTGTATTAGTTTAATTTTTTTTTCATTCTAAAATTTAATTCTCATTAATTTATCATATTTTAAATCAGAAAATGAATTTTCTGATTCTAATAGTGAAGAGAGAACAAAAAATTATTATATTGATGAAAGGTAAGTAAATCTTGAGCAAAGAGCTATGTAATAATAAATTAATATCATATTTATTAAATCAAACTTATGAAATATTTTTTATTATATTAAATATATAATAGTGTTAATGTTAGTTAAGATAAAATATCTGAATCAATTCAAATATTTAATAATAATACTATATCAGATAATAGGCTTTTAATAATTCCAAGTCCTTGATTTTTGATGCCACTTTCTAATATCATAGAAAATGATCATACAATATAGTGATATACTAGTAAGGATAATATTAATAAACAAACTCATTTTGTTAATTATAAGGATATTAAAATATCTAATACTTAAATAATTTCTGAGCAAGGTAGCATAGCTAATAATCAGAAACAAATAAGAGACAAGGTCTTGAATTGCTGTATAATCTTTTTTTTATAATAATAAAATTTTATTAATTCTAACTCAAATTTTTTACAAATAGAAAAACCCAGAATTAGTTATTCTAAATAACTTCATTTCAAACAAAAGACATCATCTTTATACTCTTCAAGATATGTCAAATGATCCAATTTATCAGCACAATATTTATCACTAAGTTGCTAATAAGAATTTTGAAAACTACTGTTTTAAAATAGAAAATCAGATACATACAAGATATAAAATCTATAAACATATTTATAGAGTTAGCAATTTGGTAAAAATTTAAATTGCTAAAAATAACTATAGACCTAGTGATTATTATACACTCTTCTGTAAAATATTTTTAGTACTTTCAAATAACAAATATCATCTTATATATCAATTTAGTGTTTTAAAGAATATATTTCTAGCTGATAAAGTTGTGCTATTTGAACTAAAGGAATTTTCAAAATTAGATGATCTACTGATTAATAAAACAATTAGTATCATCAAAGCTACAAGACTTTAATTTAACTCCTTTGCTAGTAATAAAGAATGTAATTGTAAGAGGAATTGTCTTACTACAAAGTGTTCTTGTAGAAAAGTGAATGTTTTATGGAGTAGTGAGTACTATCTAAAAAATTCTAAATGTAAGCATAAAGTTTAAATATTGAGAAAACTGATATAAAAGTCAAATATTAAAATTGTAGAAGAAAACCAAATTTTATTTTATAAGCTTTTATTATTTATATTATATAGAAGTATAGTATAATATTTTGATATATGGAGAGCTTCACAGCAAAAGGTAGTGATAGGCCAAAAAAAATTTTTTTGTAGTTTTTTGATATTATATTCTAAATAATCTAATTTTTGCAAAATCAATATTTTTACTAAATTTTTTTTTAATTCATTACCACTTTTTGCTATAGAGCTCCTATATATAAAAGCTTTATTTATATTAATATACTTATAGTGTGAGAATAAAGCTTTTTTTCTTTATTGCATACAGTTTTATAAGATATAATACAATTTTGATCAAAAAATAAAATAAAATAAATAATAATAATAGTAATTTGACTAAAGTTATATTTATAATGATATTAATATGTAATTAATTTAGACTATTCTAATGCTAAGTAATATTTTATATTTATACAGTATTACTGTATTTTATTATTTTTTTTGCATTACATATTTCAAACTTTAAATTGCTAACTTTTAGCAGCAATATTATAAATAATATTTGATTACTAATATATATATGTACAGAAGTAAGGGATATAAATGTTATACAGTATATTAAAATAAATCTCACTAAATTAATTGAAATAAATATTTTTAATCAAAGTAGAATTTTGAAATTGTATTTTTACACTAGAAATTTTATATTAGAAAAAGACCTATAATATTCAAAATCAGAAAATTTAATACTTTTAAATGCAAATAATAAAGTGTTTTAAAATAATTCTGTATTCAATTTAGTAGTCATTACAGTATATATTATATGTTTAATTAACTTCTATATTATCTAGTTAAGTAATCTTTAATCTGAATAGTCCATATAAGAATTCTACTGTAAATTAGACTACCTAATTCTGAATCTAAATAGCCAGATTCTGAATTAGGTGAATTTTTATCTAAAGTATAATATATATATATATAGATTTGTTAGAATATAATATCTTTATTAATATAAAGATAATAATTATCATCAAGCAGATTTGTTATATTAGATCAATAACTATATTAAAAAAATATATCTATCTCATATATAATTTACAAAGACTAAAAGTCTTCGATTATACTAGCAAAATATAAATTAAAAGTAAACTAGCTCTTACTTCTACCTCTTTTAGAATTTAGAATAATTAACTAATATATTTAAAATAAAAAATTTTTTAATTATTAATAAAGAATATTAAATTAATTATTACTTGTTATACCAGTATTATTAAGTATTTAGACTCAATTTGCTGATCATTTAAACTAATACAGATCAAAAACTTTGATATATAAAATAACTTATAAAACTTAAGAAAACCTAATAAAATTTTAGTATTGAATAGAAGTATGAGTTGCATAGCCTAATAAGTCCTACAAGGCAATAAGAAGTAAAAAGATTTAGTAAGTGATGATATTAAAATTTTAGTTAAAAATTTATTTTATAGAATATTTAAATAGATAACCTAAAATTATACATATGGCTAGTTGTACTCTCACAATATGTATCACTTCCAAAACTATAAAATTAATAAAAAAGTTAAGCTGATAGCATTTGTATAAAGTAAAAAAAAAAAAAAAAAAAAAGTATTAATATTCCAAACTTTACACTATCGAGTAAACTTTTTTTTTATTTTTAAGTATTATTTCAAATCTATATTTCAAGCAAATAGTAAACCAATTTTATTGTTTATACTACAAAAAATTCCTGTAATTATATATTAATTATTTCATTATTATATATCAGGCATTAATTTAATAACTAAAAATAAGCTCTGATCCAAGACTAAAACTTGTTTAAAGTAATTTTTTTATATATAGTTTCTGCAACTAATGCTAATATTGTATATATAGTATAAATATAAATATTAATTATATTTCTAATCTGAGTAGCTTATATAAAAATTCTAAATTAGACTATCTCGATCTTGAATTTGGATAGCTAGATTCTGAATTAGATGAATTCTTATCCAGAGTACAATATATATATTGAAAGAATAATATTTTTCTAAATAGCAGAACAAATTAAAAAAAATACTATTTTTGAAAAAACATATCTATATATATTTATAGGAGTTTAGATATAATAAAAAAAAAAAAAAGTTTATTACAATAGATATGAAAAATCAGATATGATAATTTATAAAAGAGAATAGCTTAATAAAATATTTACCTATAAAAAATATATAAAAAGTTTTAACAGTAATAGATTAGAAATCATGATAGAATCTGAGCTTGGACTTAATAAAAAAGAGTTAGTACAGGTAATAATAATTGAATAATAATTTATAATATGTAACTATATTGATTATATATTATACTGTATATAGTAATTAATTATCATATAGCATAGACTAAAATATCTAGGCTATATATTTTACAGTATATATGAGTACTATAGTTAGATAAATACTATAGTTAAGTACAATTAATTAGTATTCAAAGTATTTTATATTCTAAGTATCTTAATACTTTAGGAATATTATAAAAGAGATCTTTTAGTCAATACTATATAGTATTATAAAATTATATCTCTTAGATTGTAGGCTAACACAGACAAATTTGTCTGTATTTTTGTATTCATTCAGCTCTAATTTACTTTTTTAAAATGTAAAAATATTTAAAAAAAATTATAGATAATAAAATTTGAAAATAAGGATTATCTTTTTGCAGTATTTGTTTTTATATTATAAGAAAAAAATTTA